AAGGAATGAAAACCTCAAAAATATTCTTGATACGATTACCAATAGGAAATGGATTACGAAAACTAGGGGAACCTAAATAATGTTATACTCTATGTCGCCACCTCTATGTCAATTGATTACGATGTGACATTCTGAATAAAGTCCTTTAGTGATTCAAGAACAACTACGTATTTGATATAATTTTAGATAGCGGCTACGATTTGAATTATCCCGCTACTAATTGAATTTTAAGAGAAAAATTAAAGTACTTTATTCAAGTCATCAGTAACACTCGCTAAAAATAAAGCTTCATTCTTCTCTAGTTCATTATCGTCTTCACTTTTCAAGACGGTTCTCTAATGCTACTTTTGAAATGAAGCACTTCGAATATCTATGTTTCTATTTCATGTGGTCGTCCGTTCTTAAAACATCTGAAAAACACTTTATTCATCAAAAGTTGTGTCCAAGGCACAAGATTGAAAACGTTTGCAATAATTTCAATACTAATTTTATTCTTTGATCCAGGAAAATTCAATTATCTTAGTGGCCGGGCATACGAGGGCATCACCATGACTAAGACTTCCGGCCACCATTGTCATCTTCATGTTGAAACCCGGAAATAACTAGGCAAATATCCAGTAACTATTAGGTGAAGTATATTATTTCCCTTGAAATATTGTACATCACCAAAGGAGAGGGAAGGAATTTTAAATCCAGAAAGTCAACCTTTTAGGGACATCCGTTGCTATCCGATGTTTCCTAAGAACTATAAAGACCAATTATTTGGACCAACGAATAACGGAGCAATCCAGCGTGGAGCCCCAAGATGTGGTAGCGCTGAACATACTGGTATGTAAAGGACTGGACTACACATTTAATATAGTTCGTAAATAATGGATTAAACAGTTTAGCTCTAGTATTAATATCATTTTTTCATAACACAATAAAAAATTGTTATATTTTCTTCAAAATGAAATCAACATTTTATGTGATTCAATTATATCGAAGGCACCTACGCTTGAAAGCCATTTTACGCGGTTCAGTTTTCGTGCAGATACTCATAAAGAAACTTCAAGATCCCTAACTACAAGTATAAAAGCCAAAAGGTCGTATGTTCACGGTCTGCAAGTTGCCAGTGCGATTTGCCACTATACGCCACCAGGGACTTTGCCGGCACCCAAATGCATCCCTGAACCGAGTCGTCCGAGAATATTCATTCTCGATATTCATGTTTGTGCGAACAACTTTATTGATTTTTTAAGTATTAAAAAAAACGTGGAGAGAAAAAGTTGAAAGGCCGTCATCATTGTCGCTAAAAGAACGGCTGTGGTTGCGAAAGCTTCAGAGAGTGCGCAAGAAAAAACGCTCCCAATGAAGGACCTCTTGGCAGCAGACACGAGTTCCCTCACATTTCCAAAAAGCTCTCCAGAAATCGAGAACTCGAATCCTCCACACCAATTCTCAAAAAGTTCGAGAATCTCACCTACCTAACCTCAAAATTGGAAAGGATGGACGATTTCCGAAGAAAGCCGTTAGTGAAAGAGACTACCGCTTCAAGGGATAACAGTCAAACTACGTTTTTTATCCAAAAAAATCGAACATGCTGACAGTTTTCAAGCAAAAATCGGGCAGTCAAACAAGTGAAGGGGCTGTCGCGTCATCCAAAACCACCTTTGTCCTTTTTTTAAACTTTATTTATTTTAGATGATAGTCAGTGTCACAAGTGGTTCATGTGCAAAGTTTTAGTTGCGGAACAAACTGGGAGTTAAATACTTAAAAATATAAAAGAAATAATAAACAATTATACTCGTAGTTTTGGCACTTAAATCTTCCGCCCGGACAGCCTTGATCTGCCTTCCAGATACGGTAGGCAAAGTTCCGTCGCACAGGCGTGCGGTGAGCTTTGGGATGCTCTTTGGTGTCTGTCCAATTTTTCACAACATGTTACTCAAGGTAATTCCAACAATTTCAATTTTTTCGGCAGCTAAAATTTTGTGTATGAACTACACGTGATCATAGCTACTCCCTAAAACCAAACGAGGCTGTATCGGATATAACATGGATCCTTGTACACTCATTAGACAAAATCAAGTGAGCACAGGAAGGGGTGATAGCGAATGCATATTTGCGGTGTACATGTTACGGTGAAAGTCCGAATCTACCTAATTCGCAAATTAGGAACGGCTTCCAAACACACTTCACTTTAGTCGGATAGCAGATTAGCCAAGCGTATTGGCTAGGATAGGTGAAATACGTTATAAAGACAATGAATATGATAGATCATGTACGTGATACACAGGAATCAGTCCGCTAGTGGGAAGTTTCGAAGACAGCTACAAGGTAAAAGGTGTGTTCGAGTTCCACTGTGTCAGTCTTTAATTTCTATTTACACGATTCCATTTAACCTAACCTACCCTACCCTCACTGGACACCGCAGTTGACACTTTGCTATGCATATCCGATTTGGGACGTCGCTCCGATTTTTGCGACTTACATTAAAAAAAAAAAAAAATAAAAGAAACTCGAGTAGGTGCAACGCATAATTTCTAATGCATTGTTATGCCAAAGTACTCGCGAAGACACAATTCTCTTCACACTCTGACTTTTGCCTCTACTTTAGCCAGCCCCCTGTGGCTAATGCCAACACTGTCCGAATGATGCCCGAAATGAAATTATCATACAACTTTTTTCCATACCGCCTAGATAATGTGCTAAATAGCCATGTATTGACTGCATATTATCAGCATTAAGAGCAGTGAATGCAATAACTGGCGAGTGCCGGTCTCTGGAAAATCGCGTGTTCGAACTCGAGAAAATGCTGAAATTTGCTTGATTTGTAAAGGATCCATAGGTCTATGACTACTGCCGGGATCGAGTTGGTAGGTCGACTGCTCTGATCAATGATTTTAGTGGTTTCCTTGATCACTTCCAGCAGCCTGTACAGCGGACTATGGACCACGCGCGATCGTCCCTTCACATACGGCTCCCCTAATCTGGAATGAGTCGCTATGAGGGAGTGCATCTCATTCCTTCACCCTCATAACTAGCCATGGCGGCGAGAGCAGAGCCCATCATCAATAAAAATTACAACTAGCTGGATCAGTGCAAACATTCCGCACTATGTAAATCATTGATTTATATGTGACAATAGTTTATTAGATACCGACTGCAGGCCAGAATTTGTATTGCACATTAAAAGCTCGTCAGATGAAGCCTATTAACTCTTCAATTTAATTTTACACATATACACACGCACACTTACACACGCACATTCTGAGCACCATTCGCCATTTTCTGGCACAGGATTATGAAGTAGGTACGAGAAAGTAAAAAAAAGTCCATAATCTTTCCATAGGGTATTATATATAGAGGAGGCGACTACAATGATGAAATGATGTGATTGAATCGATCTCTATCTAACGTTAAAGTGAATTATTATTGCTATTTGTTGTCTGCTCTTGAAGCTACTTTGCTTCTGCAATGATATACTCATTCTCCTTCATAAAAATCAAAACAATCTCGATTTTGTCCAAAATGTCAAACATTGCTATTTACAGCAGGAGGCCTAAAATCTTGAATATTTAGAACTAGAGAATAAGGTTTTCACATTCCATCAAATTCCTCAGTCTAATCACATTCTAATACCTTTGTCACACCATGATGGATAAGCAAACAAAATGTGTGGCAACTGCAGACTCATTACTTCCATCATTCCCTCAAACAACGTTATTTCCATTTTTCAGTAATTTCTCTATTTGTCTACCACTCAAGTGGAAATTGCTAACCTTCCCCAAAATAATACTTTATTTGCTCTCAATTTTCAATTTCAACTTATATTTTCAGTCAACAACAAAATTGGAAACATCCTTGTAGCAGAACAAGAGAAAAATTAATTAATATTAGTATTAATTATTAATCTTAAATTATGAAATCTACAAGAGAGCTTCTAACAATAAATAGGGGCGAAGGGTAGACAGAATTTTCTTATCCGAGATGACCTTAGAACCTAGGTAGTAACCACACGAGAACCCACAAAATGGCACAATATTTGTGTCCAGTCAGTTTTAGCAAGTGGCACATCAGATTATGTGCATTAAGTACTGCAAAATTGGAAACATACGAAAGCTAATACATTAAAATGGTTGACAATTATTATTTCAAGATTCAATATTCAATTTTATAATGTTAAGTCAAACTCATTAGTTTTGTATGTAAAATATTTAATATCATTCGTCTCTCATTATTTATTCACCTTTCATAGTCAAACTCATTAGTTTTGTGTGTAAAATATTTAATATCATTCATCTCTCATCATTTATTCACCTTTCATAGTCACATGGACGGCAAAGGCCAACCACTCTTGTAATGCCCAGGGAAGAGGTAGCTCTTCTTTTGCTCCCCTTTCTTGGGCATAAGATAATCGAACTGTCAATTATTTTCCAGATATGAATTTTCAATATGAAAGTAATTTGCAGTTTCAAACCAATAAAGAAACATGAGATATTTTCTCTAGGCTAAATTAATTTCTTGCAAGGATTGAAATGAAAATCACTAAGATGCCACAGATTCACAGTATTTTCAACACCTACCCCAAACCTCCCAGCATTGCCAGAAAAAGTGGGTGAAGCGAGATGAAGTTATCAATTGTTGTGCATTATATGCACTGTTATACACACACATTAAGTTGGAAAGGGAGATAGTGAGACAAACAATAGGAAAAATTCAGTAGCTGAAGAAAATCTGTCATTAAGTCAGTTTTCTCATCGAAAATTCAAATCAGTGGGACCAGAGTTTGATGTTCAATGCCAAGAACCGCTTTGCATGGATAAATAGCCACACCTCAACTTGTAGCTTCTGCGTAGTTTATATAAAATATTCAGAGGATAAGAAAGCAATTATGCTTTGTCCCTTACAGTATTTTGTCAAATACTCACCATCAACAGTTTTAATACTAGAAAATGGAATCTATTTTGAATTTAAACTTAATTCCATTATTTGTATTCTAGAATTACAGTACTTACACCCACATCTGGTGCATCGGTGTTTGAAGTCTCTTGTCTCAAAAGGGGAACCTGAAAAAAAAGATATATAAAGTAAACAATTGATTTCTCGTACATATGGCGAAGTTTTCGGATGGTGACACCTACATCTGCTTTCTGTACCTCATGAGTTCGATATATTCAATTTTACAACCAACTTCAAAATAAAATCCCGAGATCCAAGGAATCGCACTTGAAGTCTAGTTTTAACTCATTTGTTTGACATTAATGTTCGGAGAAAATTGAAACTTAACAATATTACGTATGCACTCGTACATTAATCGATTGCCCTTAGAGGGAATACTAATTGCAAAACGTGAGCGTTAGGCGGATTGCATAAGCACCCCTTAATGGCTTGGCCAAGTTGGAAGATCCAGCTCGCCCAATTCCGAGCAGCCAATGTGCTCGGCGAATATTCGCTTCCTTTGATAGATGCAAAAGACCGACACGCGGTGAGCAGTGAATGTTCGTCGCTTGGTAAGCAAGCGACCCATCCACACTTCGCGGGTGTAGAGTACCGTACGTGTGAGGCCGCCTTTACATTGTGCGCGTGATGTTTCAGTGTTTTACCGTTAAGATTGACGCATTTGCCTCAATTAACGCATTGAGCATATTGGACTGTCTTCAATATGGCGCACACTGTCTCAAAGATAGACCCGTGATCCCCGAGGTGTCAGGACATGGCATAGTTCTGGTACGGCGATATTTCTCTCCCATAGTTATTGTTTTTTGTCGAAATACAAGTAATTCAAATCAAAAGAAACTAAATCAAATAAAATCGCGTGGCCACGCGACAGCAACGCTTCTCTGGCAGCAAAATGCAAGTCGTACATTTAACAGACTCAAAACCTTTTGGAAAGCACACTGAGAGCAATAGTAGACTGACTTGTATTTAAAATTGATTTCTATTGTCTAAAATTGAGTCAGAAATATAATTTATAAGTTTATTGTTCAGGGAAATGAATGTCAATAAAAGGGAAATTATAGTTTTACTAACACAGCCAAGTATTTCACTATTATCAAGGGCTTGACATTAGAAGATGTGTCGATTGGTTAAGAAAATTGCGTTCTAAAGTGAACCAAACATTCGAAATATACAACATAAATGACGATGTGATGGAGAGAAGTAGCCCTCAGTGGACGCCAAAAATTCGACTTCACCTCCAAATTAATAACGTGTACTACATGTAATATCTTGGTAACTTTAATAACTTTACGGAGTTATATTTTAAACCATATTCTTTATGTATAGAATAAGGGGCTCAAAGTCTAAAGGGACAGATAAAGGGAGGGAGGGAGA